CAGGGGGGGATTTTCAGTCTGCACGAATTTTTTTCGGAATTTTAAAGGCATTTTTCTTCACTTTCTCTTCGCAGGATTGTTTCTTTTGTTTTCCTTTCCTAAAGAACTATTCGGATCATTAGTCGAGTGTTAGTAGAAGGAGAAGCAAAGCACTCTTCTCGCATGCGACTGAGGCTATGATCCGATAGCTAAGTTGAAATTCTTCAGTCTTTGAAATTTTCTCTCTGCAGTATACTGTCCAGTGAAAACGATGACTGGAGAATGTTGTTATATACCGTTTAAACACGAAAGAAAATGGCGATATGGTTGCTTGATTGACAAAGCCACAGGAAAACCTTGGTGTTCGTTAACACCATATAACAAGGATGGTGTCAAGGAAGAGTGTAACAAAACCGTTGCAAGTAAGCTGCCCTCGATATCTTAGTATCTTGAACGAGTGGAATGCTGTTCCCTTACACGTCCAGTAAGGATCGTACGTTTTTGCTACTACAGAAGGACTAAACTAAATTTTAGTTACACTGATATCTGGCATTTAGTTTAGTTTAATTATACTGATATCTGGGATTTAGTTTAGTTTAATTATACTGATATCTGGGATTTAGTTTAGTTATACTGATATCTGGGATTCACATGGTGTGAGAAAGACTGATTGAACAAATGTCTGTTTCAGATCGTTGCGCAGTTCGTACTGAAACCCCAAACAAGACTTGCTGTAGCTTTCCATTTGTGTACGATACGACGGAGTATTATACCTGTATTAAGCCTGTACCTGGTCAGGAGGCAGCTGATCAGGACGCGAGTTATTGTGGTATTCAACCACTTGTCCACTCCTCTCAAGATCTCGTACGATGCATTTTCACCAGCGATACTAAACCTACCATACCTCCGCTGTGTCGAAAGAATGAATGTAAACCAGTCAAAGCACCACCGAATGAGGCAACAGCTCTCGTATATGTCGTCTTTGGAGTGAAAGGAATCGACAAAACCTCTGTCGATTTACGTCATGTTTTGAAAGAAACTCAGGTATTCAATTATTCAATCTTAGGATGCAGTGATTCAATCTTAGGATTCAGTGATTCAAACTTAGGATTCAGTGATTCAGTCTTAGGATTCAGTGATTCAATCTTAGGATTCAGTGATTCAATCTTAGGATTCAGTGATTCAATCTTAGGATTCAGTGATTCAATCTTAGGATTCAGTGATTCAA